ATCTTGTTCTATTATTAGGGTTGTCGTGGTATTTTCTACCTGGTTTCGAAGTTTTAATAAAGCAGTGTCCATTTCTGTCTGAATCGTAATTTTAACATCTTCGAGAAGAGATATTTTCATTTTTTCGAGTTTGGAATCTAAAAGTTTGCTGAATTTTTCTAGCATTAAATCTTCAGTTTTAAAGGATTCGGGGCCGTTTGGAGCTAATACAATACTGTCCGAAGTTAGGTTCATTATATTCCCAATTATGTCGTCTAAAGTTTGATCATTTTCATTTTTGTAGTTTTGTGTAATCTGAGTGGGTCTTCGCCTTATTGTAACGTTCATAGAATCATCGCAGATGTGTTGTTGTATGTATGGTTTTATTGGGGTGTTAGAGTTGTCTCCCTTTGGCATATTGCATATGCAAGCTTGGCATTTCCATATATTTTTTTGCTCATTTGACATAGTATTATTAAAGTGGTATTTAGGGATGTTTGCGCATTGCAGATCGTAATATTTATTGCAGTAGGCGCATTTTAAGAACTCTGAATTACCAGTATTACATTTACATCCTTCGCATTGAGGCATAGTGGATGATAAATATTTGTCGTACTAGGTTTTGTTGATGAATATTGATAATTGCAGATCCCTCTAGTGGCGTAAATAGGTATTATTTACGCAGTTGTGCTGGTGGTTTATTTGTTAAGGATGGAGTGTAGTAGTTCCGCATCTATGTCATAGATGGCTCTGTTTGCATGAATTTTTGTGATTTCTGTGGTAGAAATTCAAATAAGATAACAGACTTTTTTTTTCACTCTTACGCGTTAATTAGTTTTAGAGAGTTTGTTTAGTATTTCCACTGTAAAAGATTCTGTGGTTTCGTGAGATGTTTCTGCTATGTTATTTTATATGTTTTCAGCTTTTAAATTCACTGTTTAGTCTGTTACACTGTTTTTATTGACAAAATTATTTTTCACTTGTTTTTGTTTTTGCACTGTATATATATGCTCACTAACAATAGACGGTGATTTTTGAATGTTAAGTCACTGATATTTAACATTTACGCACCATATCTCACTGACTAAGTATTTTAATATAATTTTTAATTAGGAGCCGATGTTAACATGGCAACTAGCGCCCTCTCTACCGCCCTAACTACCTTCAAATGTATACGAATTTTCGTAAGAATACTGTAAGTGACTAAAAAGTTATGATGAAATGTAGCTCTCCACGTTCACGATCACAATGTGTGCGGCCTTTTTTGGCCACCGATAAACCTGTGTGTGGATATATGAACTGAATGTTATCCCAATAATTAGTTGTTTAGTTCAGTTGTCTACCTGTAGAATTTCAGCGTCGTACATATAATAATTTACGAGATAATTAAATAAAAGTCATTAGAAGGTGCAAGTCCGTGGTAATCCGACCATGTTTAGGTGGTTACAAAAAAGCGATCACCCAGTACATTGCGCTGTCTTTTAAAATGTTTAGTGTAATACACCTTACGATTTCGGTACAGTTGCGTACAGTGTTAAATACATTCAATATTTATTCATTATTATTACCTATTATTTATTTTGTTTTTTTTCCCTAATTGATCTTAAGCACTAGTTTCTTTACTTAAAATTTCTTTAGTCTTTTTTACTACTGGAGATCAATCAACAGAAAATCTGCACTGGTCCGCTAAAATTATAAATATGTAGATACATGTATGAACGATTCACCTGACTGCAATAAATCGAAAATTTAAACCAATAAGAAATCGTTTCATTTCTTTGATTTTTTTTTGTAAAGGAATAACACTAAAGTAATTGTATTTTATTTTGGGGTGTATAGAGCTTAGACTTGAATGCATCAAAATATTTAAAGCAACAAGTCATCTACAATAAGTTAAAATAGACCGAATAGTAGAAGAATACAGTTGTAAATTAGAAAGCATCAACATTGCATCGCCCAACAGTCGTATACCTCGTAAGAGTAGGTAATATTGTTCTGTGGTCTATACCGAGAACCGAGAATTATCTATACCTATGTACCTACTGTTAAGCGTTGAGCCCGTGACTGTTGATTTCTGTTAAAAACGAACAGTTGTTGAATGATATTTTGATATAATAACGGTAATTTAATTTATCGAGTGAAATTATTGGTCAGATAATATTTGTCAATCAAGAATCGCTGATAATACATCCTTCGCTAGAACGCGGGAGGGGAGGGGCGAAGGGATACTTCATTGTTTGCAATTTGCATCTAGTGCACTAAACTTGACCCTTAGGCAGATAATATACGTGTTGTAAAGTACGTGTGCGCTACCGCTTTCTATTTTTGCAAATATTTATCGTATTCTTGAGAGTTCTTCAATATGTGTGTACCTAATTACTAATAATGGGCATTAATGCTAATTCGATTCAATTTAAGTAATTGTCAATTCTTGTCTTAGGATATTAATTACTAATGCTAATATTGAAATTTCGTTCAGGGTGAACAAATTAAAAACGATCATAACTTGTAGGTAGGTATATCACTTATTACTAATTTTACAGAAATAATTTATTTTATTATAATTTAACTCACCGCGATTTTGTGATCAAATATTTTATTTTCTCCAACATTATTACAGAAATAATGCAATACAGAGTTTGTTCGCGATATGCTAGCCTAAGTCGATTCATCACTTAAAAAAATCCCCATCTACAAAATACCTATTTACAACGCATACGTTACACTCTTCAAAACTTAAATTACCTATACCTACCCTAAAATTAAACTTCAATTAACAAATACTACGCAGGTACCAATTCTATGAACAACTATAAACAATTCACCTAAACATTACGAGAAAACAAAAGCATTCAAAACAATACCTAATCTCCCGGCTGATTACTAATTATGCAATAAACAATCCTAAATAAAAAATATTTAAAAAACATGTAGTTTTTTGTAACACTTATGTACATATCCGTAGTAAACTTGCAAATAATATCCTACATATTTTAAAAGTCAGCACAATGTACTGGGTGATCGCTTTTTTGTAACCACCTAAACATGGTCGGGTTACCACGGTCTTGCACCTTCTAATGACTTTTATTTAATTATCTCGTAAATTATTATATGTACCGCGCTGAAATTTTACAGGTAGACAACTGAACTAAACAACTAATTATTGGGATAACATTCAGTTTATATATCCACACACAGGTTTATCGGTGGCCAAAAAAGGCCGCACACATTGTGATCGTGAACGTGGAGAGCTACATTTCATCATAACTTTTTAGTCACTTACAGTATTCTTACGAAAATTCGTATACATTTGAAGGTAGTTACAAGCAATAGAATAACGTTTGAAGTAAGTCTTTAGAGGTCTTATTTAAAGTGTTAGGACGTATTGAGGTGTTTTCATACTTACCTAAATAATTTTTAAACTGTCCATTATTTTTGCTATTTTATTGTCGAACAAATTAAAACGAATCCTTAAGAAGTTATGTACAAAGGATGGTTTCAGAGATCCAGCAAACCCACAAACGTTACTCCAGCAGGATTTCGAATAACTTCGCAGTCGAAGAAAATACAAATACCAAATAAGTTGTAACATTTACCTAGTCCAGATAACTAATTATTTAGCTAAAATTTATTTCTATATTACAATTAAAGAAGAAAATGTCTGGCTGCGGTAACGTTTCAAACGTTACCCCAGCAGGAAATGTTTTTTTGAAATAACTAAAAAAGTTTAAGTGAAACAAATTTAAAAATGTGCCTAACAATTACAGAAGGGGAGCAACTAATTATCTATAACGTTTAAATGACCATTTTCGACATTATTTTGCTGGGGTAACGCACACGGCTAAATGGGCCTTATATCAAACTTGTAATACCATATTACTACCCCAATTACAACAAACCAATAATTGAATTTTGTTCTGTCTTGTTAACAACAGTGACAACGAAATATTGCCTAAAATAACGTAACCTATTTTTAAACAATATTTTGAACCTATGAGGAATGACCTTTGTAGATAATCACCAATTCCTTTGCCGACAATATTTAAAAAGTTGATGATTTTTGTTTAAATTGAGGCTTTAGTTAAAACAGTTCTTTGTACAACTTTATCAGTCATTTTTATTTGGTCTGAGGTCTCAATCAATACTCGTATTTAAGCTCTTTATAATATGGGTATTAAGTGTTCGTCAGCGATGTTGCCAGTAGACTGTATATTCGCAACTTGCAATATAGGAATCAATCTTCTTGATTCACATTGACTTTATTTAAGGTACCTACCTGCTGCACCAGATTAAATTTATTTGTCTCTATCAGAATAAGCTGTTTAATATATTCATCTTGTTATTTTGTAACCCACTACATTTTAAATAATCGATACGAGACCGGCTAATGTTGTATCATTTAGAGCAAGTTGAAACCAGAAAACCCTTTGAAAACGTTTATTTAGGTTTTCTTCAATAAATCTGCTTGCTGCAATACTATAGTTTCTCCTAGATGTAGTTAGAGAGAGAGTGGCGATACTGACGAAAACAGCGACTGGCACAAACAACTGGAACACAGAATCTGAAGTCTATTGATTTGTTGATTTAAATTTTCAGGGTGTGTTCAACTGTATTAAGATAAAGTGGCATGGTGATGTAAAAATGTATAGATAATTATTTTTAAAAGTATTTTTATCAAACATAGTATTTACAAAGTACTAGGATACCTGTTTGTACATCCCTTAAACGTATCATCATCATCATAACCAGCCTATCGCAGTCCACTGTTGGACATAGGCCTCTCCCATTGCACGTCACGTAAACGAAAACGTAAACGTATGTTAGTTTGTAAAAGTTGGAAATTTAATGGAATAAAGTTACATTAAAATAAGCGAACACGGGATCAACTATTTGTTCTGAATGAATAATATTGACCAGAGTTCAACTAAGATAAACTTACGTAGAAAACAAAGTAAATGATTACTATATAAATAGCCGTTGCCTTGTATAGTCCAAAGTTGGATCGTGGCAAGTGTCTTGAAATGTTTTTACTAATTATTTGTGGGTTTATCCTGTCAAACACAGCTGGTACGTGTATACTTTAAGTATCATATCGTATTGGACCTCGATTGAACAGCTGACCACTTAAATTTAAATAGGCAAAAGCAGATCTGATAATGATTATTAAATAAGTTTTAATTTTTTCGACACATAGGCCTGTTCCAGCAGCCAGGACAAGTGTTACCACGGCCTCGTTAAGAACTTCTTTCGTTGCTATTTACCGAGTGACTGAGGTCAAATGCTTAACCCCCCCCACCCCTACCCTCCCCAGGCTTGGCAGGTGTCGTTGGATTCGTGAGAGTGACACCGGGTATTCCTTAATCCGTCCGAATTAAGAATACGGAGTATCACCATCCCTATTCATCCCATGGGTGTCGTAAGAGCCGACTAAGGGAGAAAACTGTGCAGGACAACAGAACTGCAAGAGAAGGATAACTTGATAGAAACTCTGTACTAACCCGTCTGGCCAGCGTGGTATAGTAGGAAAAACAAACCGAAGTCAAAGTTTATGCGGCAAAACATGCTATCTCTTGAATAACTCTATCGTTTATGGTTTTTTTTTTCACAGATGTTTCGTGCTATGACTCTGACTATGAAGCCATCCGTGGAGGGTGGATCAAACCTCACAAAGTTATGGCCACATGGTTTGACGCTGTGGAACAGTGCAATAAAGAAGGTGATTTTAAATACATTTTTTTCGACCTTATAAGTTAACCAACCAAAATAGACGGCCTATTGTGTTGTCTACAATAAGATCATTTACCTTTTTAATTGTCTTCAAAAAAGGTTTTTTTTTTATTTTACTTTTTGTATTTATTACCACGGAACTCCGTTACTTATGAACCGATTAAAAAAATAAAATAAAAATCCATCCAATCAATGAAAATTTTGGTATGAAGCTACAGTCAATTACAAATCAACACAATGTGGCGCTTTGAAATCAGTTTTACTGTTTTAGCGTTAATCATTACAAAAAGTTAATTCTTTTTAAGATTATAGCAGCAGCGTCAACCTGTGAAATCACACATATGATCACAGATGATTATGATTTTATATATATTATGCACACCGGGGTATCACTCCGGTCGAGTAGACCCACTAGTGGTTCTCCCACGGTTTCGTCACGTGAGGACTTTTATTTATCAATTTATTTTAAGTCGTTAACTGACTGGACTATTAAAATATTAAACCCCGGTGAACCACTGTAGGTATATGTTTATTGATAATGTTTTTGTTTGTATGTCCCAGGTGCACTACTTGCGTCTCCAATAAATGAAGATATATTAAATCATATGATATCAATAATCGGTACCAATGGTCACACCACTCCTTACTTTATTGGTAATAACGCAAATATCAAATCTGGGCTATATGTGTCTCTAGAAGGTGAGTGGCTCTTCAAAATATCCTTTCTATAAATGCACTCTCTCTCCTTACTCGCTTCCTTCCATTACTGAAGGTTGAGTGTGTTACCTGATTTAGAAAAGTGTAACACAGAGTACCATGTCCCGTACCAGTAAATAACTTAACGCCACCGTAGCCTTAGGATCTCGAAAAAATAAATCTCTTCTTCGCAACAAATGCGCGCTTCTTCGAAAAAAAGATCGCCGAAGTCACTGACCTCGCTTCACCAAACCTCTAACGAGAAACAAAACTAAATTATATAGGGGGTTCGCAATGTACCTGAACCACGTTGGGCGCTCAGGCACTTAGATCGCGACCTCCCTACTGGAAGCCTCCATCGTACAGGCCTGGGCCCCTGCGCCGGACAGGCCTGTCGACGTCGATGCTGAGGCACAGTGGTTCCGGGAGGCCATGACCAGCATCTGCGATGCGGCGATGCCTAGGGCTCAGCCCAATACTGCGAGGCGCCAGGTCTACTGGTGGTCGCCGGAGATCGCACGGCTGCGTCAAGCCTGCGTGACCGCGCGCCGTCAGTGGTCCAGGTTCCGCAGGAGGCGTCGCCGCCCCGAAGATGCGGCAGCGAGAGAGGCGGAGCTGTTAGCGCGTTACAGGGTTGCCAAGAGGACCCTTCAGGCAGCGATAAAGCGGGCCAAGAGCGAGGCCCGCGGACGCTACGCCTTTGCTCCACCCACGCCGGGCATTCTGCCAGTGTATGGAGCGCCATGTCCACAGTCCGGCCATCGCAGCTGTGGCACTTAAGCGTTGGCTCCTTGCGGATCAGATACAGGTGATCTCCGAAACATCCTTTACCGGTGATCACTACTGATCACCTGCCACAGCCAGTGTGAGAGGGTTCCGTGATGCCTCTCGAGCCAATCCTCCATAACGGGTCTTACCGCCGCGATGACGGCGTGCCCGACGCTCGGTTACTCCTCCACGAGGACCTGGCGGAGCTGGGATTTCTGATCCTCGATTTCTCGAGACTCAGGTCTTTGACCCAGCTCCCGCACCACAGATACAAAGCTGCAAGGGCTCTCGCCTTCAGATCCCACGGTAGAGTTCCGGCAAGAAGACTCGCCGCCTCAAAGGAGATCATGCAGTACCTCGTTATGACCTTGATGGCCAGTACTCGCTGCGGTCGTCGCAGTAGTGCGACATTGCTGGCCTTCAGGGCCTCCGCCCATAATGAGGCCCTATAAAAGGCCATGGACCGCACAACCCCCGAGTAGAGTCTCCTGCGGAAGACATCGGGTCACATTTGGAGTACAAAATGTACATTTGCACGCAGTCTGGTTTTTTGTACGTTGCAGATGGGCCGTTTGGGTGGAGTATCTTTAAAAATTCTTAATACCAATCGAGAAAGTTTTATTCTGTTATCTAGATTAATTTGAACCTTCCATTTACAGGTGTACCACTTAGTAATATGCCAGTGATTAATATGATTGAAGTGTTAGACCCCAGAGCTGGACTATGCATGGTTATGGACCACAAGATGCTGCTGAGCGTTGTATCTTGTACGTCTCGACGACCGTACATGTGCTATAAGGCACGCGATGACCACCTAAACATGACAGAATGCGGTACATTTGATAAAAGTAAGTAATATTTAAATTTTACCCATCAGCATGCAAGTATTTTTGTGTCATGGCGGCACCACACTTCGTTATTTGTTATTTGTTACGCGCCTAATTCGGCAGCATACGACGAAGTATGGAAAGCTAAATTGTCTATATTTACTTTATTCGCACGCATAACGCATAAGCGCGAATAGCAAATACACGAATCCATACACTTATCGTTTTTTTACACACATCAAAGGACACGACCGAATATGTGTGTCGACACTGCCCACACTTCGTTCACTCATTCACAACTGTTCGCTCGCTTACGGCGATCGTGTTTGTGTCACAACGAGTGCGAAAAATGCGCAATGGAGTTAGTGAATTCCAAAGTAATGAGTTCTTCAATTGTTTCAGATGCAACCTTATATTTGGGACCCAAAACATGGTTGCCACAAGGTTGCACTAAGTAAAAATTAGCTTCCGGGCCCAGATGAGGTACCTGGGTCTGGTCCTAGACGGTAGGTGGCTCTTCGACGAGCACTTCCGACAGCTTGGTCCGAAGCTGGTGGACACTGCCTCCGCCCTAGGGCGACTTTTGCCCAATTTGGGCGGGGCCAGTGTTCCCACGAGGCGGCTGTACGCGGGGGTTGTCCGGTCCATGGCGCTTTATGGTGCACCGGTGTGGGTGGCGGCTCTGACCGCAGCGAATAGGGCGCGCCTCTGGCGCCCCCAGAGGATATTGGCGGTCAGAGCAATACGCGGATACTGCACGGTGTCCACCGAGGCGGCTTGCGCCTTGGCCGGAACACCCCCGTGGGATTTGGAGGCGGAAGTGCTCGCCGAAGTTTATCGGCGAGTGGCTGACTTCCGGGCGGAGAGCGGATTTCGCCCTCCGCCCGAAGACGTGCGCGAGTGGCGCGAAGCCGCTCGCCGAGCCACCATGGTGAGATGGTCGTTCCGGCTGGAGACTCCACGCGCTGGCTTCGCCGCCGTGGAGGCTCTCCAGCCGGTCATCGCCGAGTGGGCAGGGCGGCAGCACGGGACCCTTTCCTTCCGGCTGACGCAGGTGCTTTCCGGGCACGGTTGCTTCGGAAAGTACCTGTACTCGGTCGCTAGGAGGGAATCGAGTCCCGCCTGCCACCACTGCGACTGCAGTGAGGATTCGGCCCAGCACACGCTGGCGGTTTGCCCCGCATGGGCGACGCAGCGCCGGGCCCTCACTGCAGTCATCGGAGCGGATCTCTCGCTACCGGCCGTAATTCGCTCCATGGCCGGTAGCGACAGTTGTTTTACCGCGGTCGCAACCTTCTGCGAGGAGGTAATCTCGCAGAAGGAGGCGGGAGGACGACCTCCACTCGGACCTGATCCGCCGCCGGCGAACCGGGCGGCGGAGGCGCGCTCACCTGCGCCTCATGCCGCCCTGAGTGTGGCCGCGGGTGGACGGGATGGGTTCTCCCCTCCACCCGCATTAATTGGCCAGCCGCGAGGGGGCGGTGTCCGCGTGTGCCGGACGCCGCCTAAAGAGAGGGTCCACTGAGACGGAGCCCGCGCCAGGAGCGGGCCGGCGCTGGGAGGGGTCTAGAAAGGCACACCGTGTGGTTTTAGTCGGTTCGAGTCCGACACACCGCCCCGCCGAACGAGAGCCCCGGCGGGGTGACGGTCCGAGGGGATTTCCACACGTAAAAAAAAAAAAAAGTAAAAATTAGCTGCTACTCAGCCAACACGTCCATTCTGTGTTTCATATGTGGATTATGATTTAATTCGCAAACAACACATATATTTGGCATGTTTAGCAAGTCAACTCGAAATGGTTCCTCCATCAGATAGTCTGTTAACCAACAGAAACTGTAACATTTAAAGTAACTATTAAAAAAAGGAACCAGATCGGAGTTTATTATCACATTTTCAATTATAACACCACACAGCACAGCTTTGTGATACAAATTTTGCTACTAGAAATTGAATACGCTACGAGAATGCGTAGCAGAATTATATCCGATAAAATTTCGGTCCACATCACAATTATCATCGCTGGCTTGCCCCTTTCGCACAGGTTCTTTGCTGTGACAAGCGCACAGACAGGCACACGAATGGTACTATAAGTGCTCCGCTTTTATTCGAATATTTGGAGCCCACAAAAATACCTGATAATTATTAAAAAAAAACATTAATAACAAGACCGTAGTATAGAGGTGAGCTCACAGATATACTATTTCAGCGTTTTGTCGTAATAACATAGGTCCAAGTAGCTTTTACTGCTAGATACAACAGAATTTTCATATCAAAAAGAAAACTTAAGTGCAGATATCTAATTTGCAGAATATATACGTTTATCAAAAACGGGTAGTTGTTACAAATATTACGCTGAGAAAGTGAACTGGGTCACGGCTTATGAGACTTGTATCAACGAAGGAGCATACCTAGCCGTCCTCAACGACAATAAAGAGCAATTAAGTGTTCGAGATTTTATATGGGATCAAAACAATTCGGGTGCTGAGTACGTACATATCGGATTACTGGAATGGAAGGTCGGAGGACCATGGTTCAGTGTACATTGTAAGTAATAAACCGAATAATCCTAAGTATATTTAATCCTAAATAATCATAAGTGTATTAAAAAATAACTATTGTTATTTCAGGGGAGCCCTTCGAAAAGATCTACAACCGTGGTTTTATACAAAATGAATTACAGTCTCACGTTGGCAATTGTCAAGACCACAGAGGAGTTCTGTCAGCGACAGGAAAAGTATCCTATACAAAAGATGGTAGCTCAAATTTGAATGTGTACCAGTTTATATGTGAGAAAGATCCAACCTACATCAGATTTCCTCTCGACAACATGGTACAATTAAAAAAATATTAATGAAGCACAACATTAAATATTCTAAACTAAATCCTCTAATGTCAGAAACTATCCGAAATTTAACACAATATCGGCCACGTACACCTGTTCTAACTTTTTAACTTCTATTCATGTACGTAAATACACTGGAATTAATAATAATATAAACCAGGTTGCACTTGCCATTCGGATTGCAACCACGGCCTGTGCTACCTAGTCAAAACGACTGGTAATTTAAAGGTATGTATATAGTGTCTGTTTCGTGCTCACGCATGATTATAACAAATAAAACTACCTACTAATTTCTGCATGCCCAATTACGAATGTAAGTTTGTTTATGACGCTTACTTAGCCAATCATGATGTACTTTGTAAATACGTAGCCAGGGATGCAGACAAGGATATAAGGTTAAAAAAAATCCTGTTCCTGAGGTAGTAGCATCAGCTTGCTCAAAGGAAGCCGTGAGCAAAAGCAAATTTATTGCGCTTTTCTAGCTACAAGGCAAATTAATGATTAAAGAGAACGCACCTGGCTAACTTACACAGACGAAGGAACCTAAGCATCCGCAACAGTTTAGTAGCAGTTATGATACTGGAATTAAGATTACTCCACTTGTCAAATGAGGACACGCTGTCTATCACGTCTAACACCAAATCTGAGAGAGAGAAACAACAATTCTATTATATTTATCTGTACTAATATTATAAAGCTGAAGAGTTTGTTTGTTTGTTTGAACGCGCTAATCTCAGGAACTACTGGTCCGATTTGAAAAATTCTTTGTGTTAGATAGCCCATTTATCGAGGAAGGCTATAGGCTATATATCATCACGCTAAGACCAATAGGAGCGGAGCACCAATGAAGAATGTTTCAAAAACGGAGAAAATTTATTACTATTGAGAGACGCGGAAGAAGTTGCGCGGGTCAGCTTGTTAAAGATAAAATGGTTTTAATTACTACATGCGATATTTCGGGGATGCCTGGAATAACATACAATAAAGAAAAAATAATATTTATTTATTTACAATTTTATGCACTTGTGTACATCGGCGGACTTAATGCCCGTAGCATTCTCTACCAGACAACCTTTGGGTGGTGTAGAAATCTGGTGAGGTAGGTGCACTGAGGTTACAGTTGTTATAGTACTTAGTTAAATAGTTTTAACTAACATATACAATTACACACATAAATACACAATTACACACATACAAAAATATATAAATATAAATACACATACATACATATACTTTATATTCGTACACTGTAATTAGGGAGGTGTACTATTGGATAGGTTATTCCGCCAACTCAAGAAGGTAGTTATGTACATTCTTTTTAAATGTGAAACGGTTTGTAGACATCCTGATTTCAAGTAGGAGTGCATTCCATAGTAGTACTGCTTGCACAAAGAACGAAGAGTTCACAAAGTCAGATTTGTGGGAGGGACACAGGAGAAGAAAATTATTTGTCTCGCGAAGATTTCTGTCGTGATTAGCGGACAGGAAACGCAGGTAGGGATCAAGGTATCGATGAGAATGGGGAGTTGAGGAATAAAAAGAGAGAGGTGAGCGCTCGCTGATTACGGCGCAGGCGAATAGGTAACCATTGTAATTGGAAATGTAAAGCAGACACGTGGTCATACTTATACAGTGTATTCTATAGTCTGCCACCCTTGCTATAGTTAAACCGCCGTAAGCTTGGCCCTCCTGATGGTTTGCGGGACGCGGGGCGGGTGATGCGCTCGGCTATACATGACACGATGTACTAACTCGATATCTTCAGATTTTTTTGTTTGAGATTTAATCTACACACGATGTAATAAAAATCGAATTTATTTCCATGTATTATAATGTCAGTGTATTGTAAGTTTTTATGATTAATTGTAAAATTTAATACTGTAAAATAATTTTAATAAAATCACATTATCTTCATCATGTAAATTATATTCAGATACAATTTTAAAAATTAAGTTAAATAATAAATATTATTTATTAGAACTTTAACAGTAGAACCTCTGTAAGCCGAACTTCAAGTTTTTAAATCTTTTTGTGACGCAGAGTCGGCAGATTATCCATGTTGCAAAATAATACCGTGTGTAGCAGTCTTAAGAAAAATAACACGTACAGCATGCTTTCACGTCAGTCACTGCCGGCGGACAGCGACGCACTAGCTAATTGGTTGAATGCATCCCCGCCCCGCGTCCCCCAAACCATCAGGAGGGCCAAGCTTACGGCGGTTTAACTATAAGACGGGGTGGGTGCTAATTATAATTTATTAAAATTAACATAATTTTTTTCATGCTGTTGCCTTTTTTCGTATGGAATCTCTCACAGGATATCATCTCAACCGAGGGTGAAGCGGTATGTATATCCTAATTGACTATAACCACGCGGTGTTCCGTCACAAGTGAGTCTGTCGCAGGGGACACGGGATACCCTAACCAGGAAGCCACGTCGAACGGGTGCAGATGCCTAAAGTTCTGCTCATTATTTCCTACAATTTTTCGACATCATGTGAACTAAATGAATAACTTTGTTTTCTATAATCTAAAAATAGAAAAGGCTCACCGCCAGTAGCCATCACGATGATAAAAAAGTCCAATTTATTCCAATGGGATTTGAAGTAGCCAAAGAAACCGTACGCACACATCTTTATAACCATCTCTAAGATATATACTATAAAGAAAAACCTGAAAATAAAATTATACAGTTTTGGTGACAGATTAAGAATGCGGAGTGTCACCACACCTATTTAACTCGCTGGTGTCGTAAGAGCCGACTAAGGGAGCAAACTAAGCAGGACAACAACACTGCAAATTGAAGAAAAACTTATTTCTAAGGAGAAGCCTATGTCTAGCAGTGGACTATTAAAGGTTGTTCATGTGATGATGACACTTTATAAGTCCTCGGAGGGCTGTGCTTCAGCACGTATACGATGAATTAGCCGGAGTGATACCATAGCCACACAGAAAACCGCTGTTTAGCAATTCTTTTGTCGCTAGTCACCGGGTATATGAGGTCACAGGAGGTCCCATCCCTCCCCTCTAACATTGTGAGGGGAGGTGAGGCATTCAAAAGGCGGTAATGCACTTGTCTCTTGACTTGCAGGTGTTCAAGGGCTTAGGTGATCACTTACCATCATGTGACCCGTTTGCTCGTTTGTCTCCTATACCATAAAAAAGAGTGCAGAGAGAAGGATTGAGGACTAAAACGAAGTAATTAAGTAAGTAGTGGCATCAAAACACTCACAGATTTAGCGCTTTAATCACGTACATGGCCGTTTTGGAAGGCCACCTCATAACTACTTCACAGAGTATGACGGGCGTATTGCAGAGTATCATTATATAGATGAATCCGTCAAACCATACATTTGTGACTATCCTATAGCAGTGCTGGCGCCATTTCCGACGAGGCACTTGGGCATTTGCTGCTTCAGGTGTGATCATGTTCACCAACTTGCGCCGTAACCAATGCGCATGTCTCTGATTACAACAAAATTAACAATATTCACGAATTGAGCAAAGTGATCTAAGTGAGCAAAATGAACTCAATACAGTGAGCAAAGTGAATATAATTGTGAGTTAACTTTGTTCAAATTAATATAACTATATAGTTAGATAATTAAAAATCGGAATCAAGTGGATATACTCGTAGTTAGGAATAATTGGAAATGTACCGTTCCTCCTGGAAATAACGGATTTGTTCTCTATATTAACTTTTTTAACTATTCTTTTTTTTTCACCGAGATATTGCTGTTGTTACACATATTATTGTGTATTTGTGAATTTTAGATTACGTTTATAATTTCAAAATATTTTTTCGTTATTGTATATTTATGTGTAGAAATTGTATTGGATTGTGTGTAGTTTACCTGTAAATTAATTTATTTTTGTTTGTTTATCTGTTTGTTTCCCTAATAAAAAATAAAAAATCAGTATCGTAGGCTAAGAGAAAAGAGAATATAATCTGGTAAAGTAAGTTTACAAAATAACGACCTATTTTAGTATAAAACTAACCGTTTCGCTTTAAAATGCAAGACTCATTATTTTGCGTTTTCTAAGTAGGAATATAAATATCATGACTAAAATGGTACAGATTATATTGAGAAAATTGACCAAAATGAGACAACTGATGTAGCAAACACAGCTGCTTGTGCCAACTTCCCTATCGACCCTAATAGGGTCGATAGGGAAGTTGGCACAAGCAGCTGTCCGCCTGGCATGATTATCTCGGCTGGTCATAGGATCCTAGCGTTGTGTTGAAAAGACTTCCCTGTATGAGGGTCTCATTACATTTCATACAATACCAACAGCAGAAAACAAATTAACGAAACCCACTTTTGGCTTCCATAAAGTGCCTAGCTGCTCCAAGTTGATTTTGCCATCATCAGCATCAGCGGCGACCTCCACAGCCTGAACTAGGACCCTGACTGCATCTTTACTGATCTTTCCGTGTTCATATTGACGCCAATAGGATATTTTCAGGGCTTTCAGCACACGTTGGTTTGCCTCTCTGGTGAAGCACGATGAAGTGTATTGTATCTCATTCTCTAACTAGTATTAATAATTAATATTAGATTCCATGGGCGGAGCTTATCGTAGGTTGTTATTATTATTCTCTTTATTACATAAAAATTACATTTTTAAATATATTATAAAATTTAATTTTTACACATTTGTACAAAAAAATTCATTTAAAATATAAAAAACAGTGTCCCATCGGTATTGGGTACAGGGACCAAGAGATCGGTAGTTAGGTTAAGGTTAAGGCAGTTCAAAAACTGCCTAACGCGAGCCTCTGAAGATGTTGGTCGAGGCTCTCAGCAGCAGGTACAACGATTGCCGAATCCACATAACACATGTTGACAATCTCGTGAGCCAAATCCAAATAGTTTACTTGTTTATCTTTTCTAGCTTTCAGGAGATTGGCGTCATGTGGAATGGTAATGTCAACAATCATTGCTCGGCGCTCTAATCTAATCTATTATCACTAGGTATATCAGGTTTATTGGCAACAATAGTCCTGTCAGTGATAAATGTGATAATAGGCCGACCCTTTTTTTTTTTTACGTGTGGAAATCCCCTCGGACCGTCACCCCCCCCGGGGTTTTGCGGCGGGGTGGTGTGTCGGACTCGGACCGACTAAAACCACACGGTGTGCCACTCTGCGCCTGTAATAGGAGGGATCCGGGAACAGCTGTTATTAAGACATCCGGACCCCTCCTAGCCCCTGCCCGCAACGGCGCGGGCACCACCTTCGGTAAACTCTCTATTTAGGCGACGTCCGGCACACGCGGACGCCGCCCCCTCGCGGCTGGCCAAACTAATGCGGGTGGAGGGGAAACCCACCCCGTCCACCCGCGGCCACACTCAGGGCGGCATGAGGCGCAGGTGAGCGCGCCTCCCCCGCCCGGTTCGCCGGCGGCGGATCGGGTCCGAGTGGAGGTCGTCCTCCCGGGCCTTCTCCGCCACCTCCTTCTGCGAGATTACTTCCTCGCAGAAGGTTGCGACCGCGGTAAAACAACTGTCGCTACCGGCCATGGAGCGTACTACGGCCGGTAGCGAGAGATCCACTCCGAGGACTGCAGTGAGGGCCCGGCGCTGCGTCGCCCATGCGGGGCAGACCGCCAGCGTGTGCTGGGCCGATTCCTCACTGCAGTCGCAGTGGTGGCAGGCGGGACTCAGTTCCCTCCTAGCGACCGAGTGCAGATACTTTCCGAAGCAACCGTGCCCGGAAAGCACCTGCGTCAGCCGGAAGGTAAGGGTCCCGTGCTGCCGCCCTGCCCACTCGGCGATGACCGGCTGGAGAGCCTCCACGGCGGCGAAGCCAGCGCGTGGAGTCTCCAGCCGGAACGACCAACGAGCCATCGTGGCTCGGCGAGCGGCTTCGCGCCACTCGCGCACGTCTTCGGGCGGAGGGCGAATCCGCTCTCCGCCCGGGAGTCAGCCACTCGCCGATAAACTTCGGCGAGCACTTCCGCCTCCAAATCCCACGGGGGAGTTCCGGCCAACGCGCAAGCCACCTCCGTCGAAACGGTGCGGTAACCGCGTATGGCTCTAACCGCCACTACCCTCTGAGGGCGACAGAGGCGTGCCCTATTCTGATAATAGGGCGATCCTAATACATACAACGTTTCACGACTATTTTCGAGGGTCCTGGCATTTGGAAAACCACGATCACCATATTTTCGTGGAACATATAACCTAATCACCGATGAACGTGAATGATGCATTCGGTACGCAGTAAGCAATGTAGGTACGAACTGTTCTATCCAGGGTATCTAGTTCAGTCTGAGTCCATCTAAGTAACATATGCCAAAAGAGTAGGTTAGAACTGGTATGACCCAATTATTAGCTAAAGAAGCGTGCTTGTAACGATTGAGTTGTCTATTAAACACAACTCATTTACACCTTACGCCTGTGACATACCTAATTTGTAAGTTTCGTTAGCTGACAGACACCTTATTTTTTTTTTTTTTTTTTTTTTTTTTTTTTTTTTTTTTTTTTTCGTGCGGAAATCCCCTCGGATACCACCTGTCGGTGGCATGTCGGACTCGAACCGACTAAAACCGCACGCCTTCGCTGGGTACTAATAGCCGGGGAACCAGGTATACCCTAGAAAGGAAGGCCCTGGTGCCCCGACATACCTCGGGTCATCTACAGACGAGTAGACGACCCCCGCCCCGTGTGGGAACCCCATGTTCCCTGTGCTCCCTGGAAGCGAGCGCGCTTCGCAACGCGCTCGCCGCCACCCCGGCCTGCTTCTGCTAGGGTGACAGATGGCCTCACCTGTCACCCCCAGGCCTGCGCTTATGGAGGACGGAGGTCGTTCTGCGACCTCCGGCGCCTGAGTCGCCTGCGCTGCCTGGCCCGTGCCCGGGCCTGGCGGGCCGGGAGAGTTCTAAACCTCTCCCGGTCCCGCTCCGCCGTCTCCTTCGCGAGCATAACTTGCTCGCAGAAGGAGACGGCAGAGTTCCACGCACTCTCGCTCCGCAGGATAGCCGCAATCAGGCTATCGAGCGAGAGCTGACAGACACCTAAAGTGCGTGGAATCTGAGAGTTCCATCCTATCAGATTCCACAACCCTACCTCTTTTTAAATGCATGATTGCACACTTATCTACACCAAATTCCATCCTGATACATTAACTAAAGGTTTTAGTTAATTTATCAGTATGGAATTACTGGAAGCAAAAAGTTTTAAATCATCCATGTGAATATTATTATAATATAATTTATGAGATTTTAAATAATATATAAGTATGACTTGGGAGATATTATATCGGAAAACTAAATAATCTTGTTTTATTATCTGTAATTTTAAACTAACTAGTAATCGTAGACGCTAACGTACTTGGTCAGTTCTTGAGGAAAAGTTGGATATTGCTACACAACTTGTTTAGGAAAAATATTGTAATTTGTATTGCATTTCTTATAAATGCCATCATTTTTTCTCTTTTAATGCTTTTTTTCACATACCACTCGGATTTAAAAAAAAAAAGATCCAATTGAAATTTACCATGTTCGACTGACGTACATAGTACATCATAATTTACCCTACCGCATTCTTTAATAGGTGTTAGTGTACGGTTTAAACATAGTAGTACGTAGACCACGTAGGGTTGGCTTTACCTGACCATCTCAGCGAACTCCTTCTTTGTAGGTTCATTGGGAATTTCTCTCTCGCAATCAGGGCACGTTGTATAGTGGTAACCCATGTAAGCGTCTTCATCGCTGTCCTCGTCGCGACCCGACATTTGTATCTGATACGGGTGCTTGATTGTGGTGCCTAGAGAATATCCAAAGTGGTTAGGAGCGCTCTTAATGTTGCCAAGTTGTATTGCTCCATGATGATAGTATATATACTAACCATCTTGCACTAAGTCCCAGTTCGCATCAGCAAGAAACTTATCCATCTTAAGCATAGAGATATAACGATCGCGAGTCAACATAATACGTTTAACACAATTCGTCATGTTCGCTTTCTTGGCCAAAGAGATCTCGGCTAAACCGAGAATTTTCAGCACTTTGCGCATGGTTGACGCATTCACCAAGACCGACAGGATCACCAACCCTGCTGTCTGGATGATGAAGACCTTTTAAAGAAAACCATGTGTTTACCGGAGGGGAATAATTTACATTTTTTTGTGATATATAGTGTTTGTATTTGTAGGCTCTTTTTACCAACACTTCATTAATTGATGACATTATGCGCTGTAAAACCCTTTGTATCGAAATACGATATACAAATCTAGCAAATTTAAAATATTATTATATGTTTAACATGATGAACCAGATTTCACTATATTGCATAGTTGTAAGATTGTGGGAGTTCTTATTTGTTTTAATGATTTCCTGAACCTCCTTTATGGTTTACTAATATTCTGTACAGGAACTATTATGAAGACTGAGATATTATTGATAATTTATTGCTTAGAGAGGTAAGGTATTACTTGTTAATACTAACTATTCTGAACTAAAGTTCGTTATAAAAGAAGAATAAAACAGGCAATTTTAAGAAAGTGATTTTAGGCATTTAAGATAGCCAGTGGACTGATACTGACCTCTCCCGCTTCGGATACAGCCGGAGTTTGCAGCACCATCAGTGCTAAGCAGAGAGATAGGGGTCCTTTGAGACCACCCCAGACACACGCCATGCATTGTTGCCAGGTCATGCCATACCCAACGTGACGCAGTAACGGTGTCATTGCCGCGTATACCATCAGCCTGAGGGATTTTTGAAATTTTACTTTTAATCGAAGCATCAATAGTTAAAAGTTACGGAACTTATTAAATACTTGATTACAATAAAATAAAGTAGGTAGATGTAAAAACACTATCCACTTACTTTTTATGTTTATAACTAAAATTTGTTTAGGTATATTAAGTAACTAATCTAAGAAAGTAAATAAATTGACAGAGAGGAGAAAAATGGAAATATTTTTGTTGTGCCAATCAGGTTCCAAGTAATGATCGTTTTGTATGAAAGCTTGGAACCTGATTGGTCAGGGGGCGGGGCTTGATGTATGAGATGAGATAATATTTGCTACTACCAGCTTAACTAAAAAATATAAGTCAAAAATTCGAAACCACGTGTTCACAAACTAGGTCCATCCAACTCACCTCGCACAATAAACTGTAGTATAAGTCACAAATATCAAAGATATTTGTCTCACGCTGATCACATCGTACCCTTTATCAAATATCACGACTCCAACGATTGTAAACAGCAATGTGTTCGCGGCATGCGCAGCAATCGTCCAGAAGTGAGACACGACCATCTCCACGTCGCCAGCTATGGTTGACTTCTTCTTACTCACCATAATACCCGTTATAACAGTGCCCAGGAAACCAGATACATACAAAAACTTTTCACCGATGTAAAATGTTAAGTACGCCCCAGCTAAAGTAACTGTTACAGCACATACATTATCGTAATAAGTTCCAGAGAGTATAGTGCCTGTTATAGTTCCATTTAATATCCCTAGTAAGAACCCCCCACCGGCGTATCGGAGTAAATATATAACTATGTGCGAACTTGTGGCCAGAGCTTGTGCTGTATAACCGAACACTGCCATAAACTCTATCATCACTGTTACATCACCCAGCAATCCTTCACCGAGAAGTAGTACGCTGATGTATTTCCCTTTCGTCATGGTATTTAATTGTTTAACGACATCTAATGGGTCTATTGGTGAACAAACAACGCCAAATAGTAATGCTACAGAAAAATCCCAGGATGTTTCAATTAAATAAAACGCCATAAAAGCAACTATAAGAGCCGTTAGTAATGATCCAGGTACACCGACTAGAAATATCTGCAAAATGCTTCGCCAGAATGAATGAGCGTCGACGGTATAAGAAGTTTTGAATATTAATATTGGTAAAAATATAATTAAAATCACGTCAACGTCCATGTAACAGACGCTTACTAGCGGTCGAAACGTCGGGTATTTGTTAGCGCATAGTCCAGCTATACCTCCGAAAGAAAACATGATCACTCTGTAGGGTATAGACATTCCGATCCACAGCATACCCAGTCGTACTATGACGCCGATTAGAAGAGTCATGAAAACGAATAAACAGCCAATGTAAGTTGGGTACGATATATCTTGTTTCATTTCGTCTAAATTCTCTTCGTCACTCGTGTCATCATGAAATATGCCAATAGTTGCATCAGTAATAGTTTTATTAGCGAAAACTAAAGGTAAAATTTGAAGACATAATATTATAAGCGACATGTTGGCGTGGCCAAGTAGATTTAGTAGATGTAGAGTTAGTAGATTTTTTTATGATTTAGGTTTCTGTATATCCAGAAGTGTCCATCAACTCCATTTAGGTGGCGCTACCGTAGCTACGGGTGTGATTACAATGTGAACGTGCCGCTAAATGAAATTCCACTTTTCAGAATAAATATTAAATAGGAAAACGATTATATAAATTAATAAGAATACACAGAATACTGTACGGATGGCGTAGTGGTTTAAGCGGTCGCCACGCCGCTTCCTATTACGCCGAGTGTTGTGGGTTCAAACCCCACATGGAACAGCACTTTGTGTGATCCACAAATTGTTGTTCTGAGTCTGGTTGTACTTTGTGTCCATTTCATGTATGTTTGTAAAGTCCCCCGCGACACAGGATTTATTCCTAGTGCGGGAGTTGTCTTTTTTAAAAGAAAAAAAAAGAAAAAAAAGTTGTACATGTTTTTTGTCATCAATAATTCTCGTTGTCAAAAAAAAAAAACGTGGCCAAATTACAGATTGTTCATTACATAATATAGTACACATAATACAATTTTTAAATTATCTGCCGTCAGTGGCGCTAGTATCGTTTTGTTTATGTGATGTATAATGGCGGTGGACGATTATTTTGTTTCCAAAAGGAATAATAATGTGTAAATAGAAGAAAGTGCTGTAAAATAACGCTACAACAACTTAATTTATACCCCTGATATAATTAATACCCTACTGAACATGTCATGCGGAGGGATGAGGAAAATGTAGCGAAGAAAGTTTTGGGTATGGGAGCTGAAGGGTACAAGAGAAGAGAAAGACCAAAGAAAATATGGATGGACGATTGAAGGGAGTAAACAGTGAGATGACGAATGTTAGAATGGAAGAATCATACTTGCTGCGCCGACCCCAAATTAAATTGGGATGAGTGTAGGCATATGATGATTATTGATACCCTACAGGGATATGGCTAAATTTAAACGATATATCATTAAACTTTGACGTTTATGATTAATTATAGCTGGCCACATACGAACATTTCATGAAATGTTCGACAACATCATGAAGTGATCAATTTTTTATAGTCACAAGCGCAGTCAGGACACAGACTGTAAATCAATCCCGCCTACCATGTGCATCTGCAACTCAAGCTTTACAGGTGCATTGTTTACCTCCTAGAACCAGTATGATGATTTGTATGATTGGACCACGAGAGGAGACCGGACCTTACTGGAGACCAAGCCCCCCCCTAGCCTCATTTAAGAGAGGAGAGGGGGGGGTCAAAAGAGCATCAACGCATTTGCGACTCTCGAGATGCAGGTGTTCATTGGCGGCGGTAGTTACTTACCATCAGGTGACCATTCTGCTCGTTTGCCCGCATACCATGAAAAATCAAAAAAACGACACAAGATGACACGTCATTTCTAGGAGTACTTTGTTAAAAATATTTTTTTTTGTACTTTGTTAAAAATATGCGTAAATCACTTACAGCCCTCTATGGGTTAAGCAGACATAAAAGTAAGCTCTGTGCACCTACCTTACAAGATTTCTATACCACCCAAAGGTTGACTGGAAGAGAATGCCCTGCATTAAATCCGCCGATCTCAAAAGTGCATAAAGTTAAATAAATAAAAGACAAAATTTCCGAGCTTCGTTAACTTAAAAAAATGTATCGAGGTTAGTGTAAAAAATTAAAATCTATAAAAAAGATATTAATTTCATCATTTATCAAATAAATTAAAAAAATATTACACTCAAAATAATTTCCCAGGAAAACAAGTATACAATATCATCATAAATCTATAGGAAATAACAATCTAACACCATTGGACTTGATATTCGCTTTACTAGGGCTTTTGTAAGGAGAAAACTTCTGAACAGATTTCCGAGGAGATTTTCTAGGGGTTACACTATTTCTTTCAACTTTTTCCAATTCTTTTAACTCTTTGTAAGCTGTTTCTAACATACGTTTTTTCCAGTCTTCATAAGATTCTATTTTTTCCTGTGAGTGTTCATTCATCTTAGGTACGTCAACCTCCATGCTCTCTTCTGCCTCCACTATAAATAATAAGAGTTGAAAAATTTTAAACTAGACATAATTAAAAATAAAATCAACATGATTCTGTATTTTTTTCTTTATTTTTATCCGTGTGGTGACGGATTAAGAATACGGACTGTCACCACCCCTATTCATCCCGTGGGTGTCGTAAGAGGCGACTAAGGGAGCAAACTACGCAGGACAACACCACTGCAGAGAGAAGGAAAACTTGACACAAATCCTATACCAACCAGGGTATAGTAGGCCAAAACCTCCTTTCTAAGGAGAGGCCTATGTCCAGCAGTGGACTATTAAAGGCTGTTAATGAAAAAAATAAATGCATAATGATTCTGTATTTTATTAGAGGTTTTTATCAAGGACTCTGCAGGATGGTATTTGTATACGACCCTAACGTAATCGAGCAATTGCTTTCGAAATTCATCTCTATTAGCATACTATCTGCACCCTACGGTTTTACCTGCGGTTATTCCACGGGGACACTACATTTTTTCGGGATAAAAGCCTATGTGGAAATCAGGGTGTCAGCTAAGTGTGATTTACCTTTTCCTTCCACTGCCATCACTTTTTACTATGGTCATTTATTCATAATTTTATTATTTTAAAATCAAAAAGTTATGAGTTACACATGGTAAGTAAAAAAGAGAAATTCTACTGGGTTTCTCTCTATTTGTCTAAGGAAGTGGCCCAATCAGATTTCTCAGTCTTTTTCATAGTCCACTGACTATCCAGGCCTACATATTATTTGTGATTATTACTGGTATTAACTAACTACTATACTTACTAATGTAACAGTACGTACCGTTGTCAACAATGTTAGTAGCTTGCCTCCCTTTCTTCTTCTTGACAGCAAAGTGTAAGTCAGTGAACTTTGTCCACTCTGCATCCAACTTAGAAAACTGTGCTGGCTTCAGTCTCGACTTTTCTAATAATTTACTCTTTGTAATTTTTACTTTATTAATCCTGAAACCATAATTAGTTAGGCTTTATCAATAACATTTATATAGTTAATCCGGCAAATGTCTACATTTAAATACTTTTCAACATTTATGAGAAGCGCATTGGCAACATCTAGTTTTGGTGTTTTTGGAACAACTAATGCGTATCATATATGTATAATGTGCTTATGCCAACGGCTCCAGTCGCGTGTATGTCAATTTTCGCCTGTCGTTCCTCAAGCCTCAAAGCCTCTGCATGATAAATTTCATTAAAATCGGTTCAGCAGTTTTTGATTTCCCATACAAACTTCCACCCCCCTTTTCACCCCCTTAAAGGATGATTTCGGGGATAAAAACTATCCTATGTCTTTTCCCGGGACTTAAGACAGACATACATAAAGACAGACACACTTTCGCATTTATAATATTAGTATGGACTAGTATGGATGTAATAAATAGAATTACCTTGAGAGTTTTATTAATGTGTATATTATAAGAATATTAATTAAGTAATCTTATAACATAATTCTGAGCCTATGAGAGTATGAACATATATCTGTTATTTGTAAGTTTCTGGTACATAACTATAATATTTGAATATAACTAGTTTGATAGTTTCAATATGATATGCCAATACATATCATATTAAAACTTTAAACTATTGAGCTGAAACTATTGAGTCTATAATAATTATTACTAACTCTTGGGCACATTCTCAACACTCTCACTCTGACATAAGAAGAAACAGATGTACAATACTAATCAATCGGTAGTGTTAGTGCTCCCGCAGAGATGCAATTGTAAGTTGGCCGACTATCGAACAACTAAATTGCGTACTTTTACAATTTAGTCGATCGATTTTGCAGCATTGCAAATTTCTAAACAAATTCTGCTATAAATGAGTAATGTTACAGTTCTTTATTTCTACTACTTCTATTTCTAATTCACATATTTTAAACTTACCTACAAGCTTGATGTACTGCCATGCATACATATTGCGGTAGATTTAAATCAACTTCCTGAAAATGTAATTAATTTTGAATTAATAAAATATGTAAATATTCAGAAGCTCAGATAGCTCAATAATTTGGACATAATTAATGGGGTTATTTCCAAATCTTTTAAATTCTAAGTCAGTTTTAGTAGAAGTCTGCAGGAAGCAGAGTTGCCTGACTTAAAAAGTATAATGAGTTTTGAAAGTCCTCAAACCTAGACACATGGAATTAATTAACCATAGTATTTAAACAACATGCCACAAATTTCATATTTAACTACGCAACTTCGATTGCGTCTCTCAAAGAGAATTAATTTGCCCTGTTTTTGCAACATTTTTCATTGATGCTAGACTCCTATTGGTCACAGCGTGATGTTATATAGCCTTAACCAGAGTTCGTAACAGAATAATAATCTGATAAAAATCTACACTTTCTAGATAACTACAAACTATATACTAAGGATTTTAGAACATAGAAATACATATTAAGACACTCACACACACCCATACCAAGATCACCTACTGCTTATCAACTTCTCAATCATTAGAGCTATTTGCAAGATCTTTTTAATAATAATACTCCTCACCTTGTATCTCTTAGTTAAACCACTTAGGGCTGAAATGCGAATTTAGATATGGATTCTCTTCATTACAAATATAAAATACCTTTATTTTCAAATAAATAACACCTCAGCATTAATTTGTGAAGGCCTCCTTTTAAGCAAACAATGACTGTGTCAAGAGACTTCACTTTCCATAACTAAGTGTAAATTGTACTTAGATACATCCATGTATTTTACAAACCATTTTAGAAAGCCTTTGGTACTCCTGCAGTATCTTTTCAGCCAAATCCTGTACACCATTACATTGCAGCGTCACACATAACATATTGGTAGTTAATCTGTCACAGTTCAGCTCCAAAAGGTTTTCAACTACTTTTTTGGTGTTTGCATATGCAGATGGCTTTAGACCCGAATATTTAATCGCCGATTTCTAAAAAAGAACATACCATATGTGATATAACATCATTAAAAACTTCTTGCGCAGATGCAATACATAGTTTCTAAAATTTTTAACTTACACACAAATATACTAAGTGCAGGAATCATCCAATTCACATCATTACCAACATTTGAGAATTTATAAATTTTCTGAAGGCATGTACTAAGATTCCAAAAAGTTTGTATGAAAAAATGTCCCATGTAATATGTGTATGAAAATATATCATGATCAGGTCAGATGAAAGAAATAATTGTGTGCATTAAGTATACATCTGTTTGCATTGGTCTAGTCTTTTCTACATATAACCTTTGATTCTAGAAGTTCTAGAAAATATTTTTAGAACCTATCCTATAAGCAGTTTAGGTCAGTTCTAGAAGACACTATGTAATATATCGCAGGGTATTGTAACTTTTTTTATCGTAGATGGTTGAATACTTACTGTGTCTAAATCAGCTCCTAGAAGACCAGCAGCTAAATCTAAACATATAACAACTTTACTTGTGTCTGTTAGGTTTATGCCAGCTGTGCTTTTGACTTGAAGCAATCTTTGGAATTCAGCTGCTTTACTGAAATTGTAATGTTTTTAGAAATTATATATCCCATATTATATACAATACTCACTGAAAGTCACATACACAGTTTAAAAACTTAAGTGGAATTGGATTAGCCATATGATGAGAAACAAGAAGGAAAAATGGACAAAAAAGTTACTGTATGGTACCCTTAAAATCGAAAAGAAAGAAAGGATGTCAATAAATAAGATGGGTAGACGACATTAAAAGAATAGCTGGGATAACATGGCAAACTAAAGTCACAAACAGGATAATATGGAAAAACTTAGGGGAGGCCTATGCCAAAGGGCAAACTGATAGTAAGGTTACCAATGTCATAGATAAGAATTGTTATTATAATATTGATTCAATTAATACATGAAATTACTATTGTATTGTATAATTATAATGTATGAATAAAAACAATAATTACCAATGAATTGTAAGGGAATGTATTTATTTATCAGTAATTAAGGCTATTTGTATATACCCTACTTATTTTATAAATGTGAAAGTATGTTTGTTTAACCACTAAACTGATCCTGAAAATGCTTTCACCAATGGAAAGCTACATTATCAGCAAGTAACATAGGCTACTGTTTACCATGAAAGATACACATGGGTGAAGCCGCATCTACGTGTTGATTAACCAGAGAAGTAAATAAAGTAAAAATAAAATAAAATGATGACTTGAAAACAGAGAAATTATTAAAAAATAAAAAAGGCTATTATATAGGAGCTGGGTTGCTTTTATATTTTATTTTAATAAACAATTCTGTTTATTTTCATATCTAAATAATATTATCCTGTAAAATAGGCACCATTTCATTCACCTGGGCCTTGCTTTGCCAAAAATGATAAAATAAAATGAGGTTTCTGTTGTTTCAAGTATGAATAATAAAGTGAATTGAGTATTTTCCTAATAAAGAATGAAAGCTTTCATAGCTTTCTAACAAAAATTTCTAGCATGATTGATAACCCTACAGATTACTACAGATATAGCCCAGTCCTATTCCAAGTAATGATATTCTCACCCATAATAATATTTCACACATTTCACACACATCAGTCTAATCCCAAACTAGGCAGAGCCTGTACTATGGTAACCAGACTGCTGATAAACATACATATATATTTCTAAATACATACATATTATAGATAAAGTACACCCAGACACAGAACAAATGACCATGCTCATCACACAATTATTTGTTCTGAGTGGGGATCGAACCCATAACCTCTGGCGTAGCCGTCATGGTCACTAACCACTAGACCAAGAGGCCATTATAACTAGTATATAACTTAATTGAACTTGAGTTGCAATCTTTAAAGTAAACAACATCTTTAATTAGGTATATTTGTTTATATATTTAATTAGGTATATGAATAAAAGCTTTACATAGCAGAACAGCATATGTCTATTAGATTTAAATGATTATATTTTTGGGATTAAGAACATCCTTTGGCATGTTATATCTAAGTAACAGAAAAATAAACTAAGTTTAAAAAAAAGTTGGATGACCCTTATACTCGTTTGCCGCGTATATTATAAAACAAAAAACTGTTTCGAATAGGAATCGGGTAAATGTTTTATGTTATTGATCAGACATCTATAGTGTAAAATCATACTAAAAACGTTTAAAACATAAATAAGGGTTGTTTTTAACTTACTTTAAAACTTTATCTTCTTCGCTTAGTCCTAATTTGGAGGCTACAAGACATATTGTTTTATTGGCCATATTTGTTTATTTATTATCCAGAAGTACAATTTTTTTGTCAGTTAAATAATTCATTCGAATCCACCATATAATTTACAAAATTCATTCACAATTTCACACACAACTCGCGCCTTTTGAACGTATGTCTGACATTTCAGCTAAAATTAGTTCATCGTTCTTTTACTCCAATCAAAGACAATTAAACACAGAAGAAACTTTTGTATATGGCATATCCAGGGAGCAGTACTATACTACATACCAATTTTACGGTTATTTAAGGATCGAGTTAAATTGAACATAATTTTGTGATTAATATAAATTACTACATGTATGGTCATTACCAAAGAAATAATTTTAATGATTTAGTTTTTTTAACTGTATTACTAAAGTTGGACTTTCCGAAAATCGGAAATATTGCTTTATAATGATGTATTCAATGTCAAAATGAAATCGAATAAGAAAAGTGTAAAAGAGAAATCTTCACAGAATTTGAATTAAATTCTTTAAATTCCATATCTTCATAGAATGAATAAAGTTTTTAGTGAAATACGATAATATTCTGCAGAATATTCTATTAAATTAAGTTGAACAATTTTTTTCCATTAAAATTCACCATCTGACATTGTTTATATCTTCGTCATGGTCAGAAAAATCTTCTCGATTTTCGATGACCACGCCCCTTTATCTCGATTTTGACTGAAGTGAAGTTTCAATGATAAAACACCTTGCAATATCACAGGAGGCGACATGTTGATTTTTTTCTATAGGTTCTGTGAAGCCGATACGGATCGCTGTCATTGCTACAAAATGTCTTTTTAGTTATCAGGGTGTAGGTCATTTAATTGTAATAATATTAACTAATCCGTGCTAGTTTCATATGTTAAACGTCTCGTAAAGAGAAAGAAGAGGATCCACTCCACCCGAATCAGGGGTGTGTATGCAGTGATAGACCGATTTAGATTTGTATCAAAATAATCCGAAGCTATTTATAAATATTATTTTCTCAGCTTTTACTTATGTTCAAACGTTAATAGTAACGTCTGATCTATAATTAACTTGTGAAAGTTTATAAATATTACAGTATTCCATGGTGGACTTGTGAGCAGAGTCGTCGGGTCATTTCTGCCAAAAGGTTGCCATTTTTTAGTTGGAATTAATCGTGTGTGGTGATAATCGGGGCGTGATCTTTTGGTTGTTCGCTATCGGTGGCAACGAGACGGTGTAGGAGTGCCGTGGTGATCCTTGTGCCGTGCAGTGAATGTGCGAGCCGAACGCGGGATATTAAGTCGTTCATAGTGCATAAGATAGTGTGGTGATTTCAGGTTGAGATGCAACTAGTGTCAGTTGAGTCGAGATAATAGCCAGTGCGTGTGTCGTGTGGTAGTAAGTGATAATGCGGTCGCAGTGAGAGGTGAGAGGCTCGGAGACTCCACCACGGCTTCTTCAGTGGCGGGTGGCGCGCGGGGAGCAGAGTCTCCTTCGCAGGCCAACCAGGACACCGTGGATAACGCCACACCCACCTGCTGGTAAGTACTGCACCTGTAATATCCTTGCCAAAGTAAAACTATGAACCATATATAGATATGTCCTTGTTCTCTGGTGGATGGTTCTTCTTGCGAATAATTATGAACACTGATCACAATAGTAAATAATTCAAAACTGTCTTAATAACTTCATCCTGATTAATCTATGTTCATCTAATCTATGTCTGATACATTAGATAGATATTCCATCATATCTTTAGGACTGAGCTCTTGTTTTTGAAATATATTTCACTGAAATGTTATTTCCCCATTGCTGAATATTTGTGGGTACATGATAATTGTTTTTAGTAAAAAAATATTTCAATAATATGTTTGCAGAGCAAATTAGTTTTTTCAAATAGTAATTCATATTTTCTGTATATATATAGCACAGAAAAAAACATAACTAAAAGAAGTCCTTTATATTTAGTAATACAATTTCTTGAAAGGTCAGTCAGGATTATTACAATATCCTGGAGTTACAGATTTTGGTAGTAGTTATTTGATAAACCCTACAATAACTTTTGTTCATTTGATTTAACTATACATAGTGGTAATTAGATGTTTATATATTAAAACAAATGTATTTCTTATTCATTCTTCAAATATGTCTGTCTCGGGGTATGTACTATTTTACATAGTGTTGGAGCTTCTAGCATTTTGTAGAAGTTATGATAGACTTTACATTGTAAGTATGTAATGAGTGTGGTACTCATACATTTATTTATAGTAAGAAGGAAAGAAACTTATTAGAATGTACTAATGATGAAACTGCTTATTAGAATGTCTTATAAACAAATACATAACTCATGAATATTAGTCATTTAATATTGTTTAACCAAAACAACTAGACAATTTCGTTACCTAATGAATTCATTAAGTTTGACTAAAATTACTATAGGTTATAAAGTGCTGTAACATTGCTTTTAAATTGTATGAAAATAGCAAATACTTCCTGCTTAATTTTTAGCTAGTTTTCAGAAATATAACCTTGAAATTAATTTGTTATTATTTACTAAACTTGCTTCACATTTTGATGAAATATTGGTAATACAAAAATTTTAAACAATTATGATAGTTGAACAGAGATAAAATATCTTCTTAAGCTCTAAATTATTATGCAATAATAATCACTAATAATAGCCCAGAAGGAAATATCAAACAAACTTAATATCTATCTAAACATTTCCTAGTAAAATGACTAAAAATATGTCCTATAAATATAATTTAGAATATAAACCAAGCCTTGTCATATCCATAGAACTCACATTAAGGTTATATCTGTGTTCAAATATGCACAATACATACCATTATATTAGGTTATTAAATTAGGAGACACAAACATTTTATGCATAAAATGTGAATTACCTAAATCAATTTGTCAACTGTATGAAGCAATTTGATTATTTCTCAGCCAAGAGTTATCATACACACATCACACATAGTATCATAAACTAGAACTTACATACTTCACCCTTAAATATTTTTTGTTAAACTAAAATATGTGAGAAGCCAATCCCATATTATTTTCAAAAATTTTTGTTTACCACCAATATATTTAAGCATCACATCAACCTCATCAAATCAAGTAGTCTAGTGTTCCCTCCTTAGAAAAGAGGTTTTGACCTACAATACCACGCTGGCCAGATGGGTTGGTATAGGGTTTGTTTCAAGGTTTCCTTCTTTGTAGTGCTGTTGTCCTGCTTAGATCGGGCTCTTACAACACCTACATGATGATACAATACATTCAATACAATTATGGACTACATTTGTTAATGAAAGGAATAAATGTGAACATTAATTGCTTTTTAATTACAATTTACAACCATATTTGCAATTCATAATGTTGCCTATATACCTGCATATTAAAATTTCTGCCATAAAAGCTAATATCCATTCTTTTTCAATCACAAGTGCCTACAATATAACATAATGTTGCTACTAGATGGAATTGTAACACTGTTATAATTTTTCATCATCTACTAAATTATTCAACTGTAATCCATATTTATTTTATGGGTAAAACATTTTCTTCTTTTCTTGTACTCTTTTATTAGTATGCTTATAAACAGTAAGTCATATAGTCTTTCACATCAGCCATGACCCTGTAAGTTATAACACACATATCTCACACGGCTCTCCAATCCCAAGAACTAGGTAGAACCCATACTATGGTAACCAGACTGCTGATGAACATACTTATATATTTCTAACTACATACATATTATGTGTAAATTACACTCAGAGAGAAGAATGTAGGATATGCAAATCAGAAATTTCATGGAAAAGCATGTCAAAGTTAAAATTGTTTAATTTATATATATATATATATATATTTACTATATATAGTATATACTATATATAATATATTTTAAAAAAAAGCTTTGCTGAAAAACATTGCTTTTTTAGGTCAATACTAAAATAAATCAAAATCAAGAAAATTGCATATCTGACCTTCTTAATTGGGAGTCTTACTGCTTCTTTCGTATAAAAGTTTTTTTTCCATCTCGGACCCATTTTTCGTCCTCTGAAAGTCGGACTATTTTCTTTCCTGTATCCCTGGTAAAGTGTACAAATTTGTATAATAATTAGTTTAACATTATGGTGGTGCATAACATGCAGACAAATAAATATTGATTTTTATACTGACCACATTTTACTACACTGTAGGTAGTTTATTATTAGTATAATAATAGTACAACTAAGTGCAGAAAGGTTTAACTCTAGAATGGCATTTGCAATTAATTGTTAATTGTCTTGTCTTGTCTTGTTACAAGAATGTATTTTATTAAAATTGACATGGTTTGTGATAGAGGTTTGATCTAGTTATTATTGAATAAGATGAACTCATTATCATTTTAATAACAAACATTTACAATAAAATATTACTGTAGTTGCCATCTAGAGTTTTACAATGCAAGTCATTTGTGGACACTTAATAAGATGAAATTGTTATTGCATTAAACTTTAAAAATAATGATATTCTTTTTGTGCTAATTTGCTTAAATCCAAATTCTATCAGTTAAAGCCATTTAAGTAGACAACAGACATTCATTTGTCTTGACTTTAAATATAATTTGAAATATTACTTATGACAGTATTATGTATTGTATGAATTATGTATTATGCAAGTAATTATACTTTATCTTGTTTAGTGCACTGTAGTGTCCTTTAGTGGAGGAATTATAGGCTTTCGAAAAAAATATGTATTTATTAAAATGTCGCCCCTCCTGGATCTTGTTCATCTAGAGTACAATAGCTTCCTCTGTTGGGTTGCTAGTAGAAACTACTATAATATAGTAAATTCTAATTTGAATAGTAGTGTGAAAGAAAATAGTCATGAGTATATAAAGTAAATAGGATCATCTAGAATATATGTGTGTTACATTGTCTTTTTTGTTATAATCCCAGTTATAACTTAACATTTACTATTCAAGCTTATGGAGTCAAGTATCACCTAGATAGCTCTGAATTTTACTTATAGGTGCCTACACGTGC